TTTTTTTTTTTTTTTTTTTTTTTTGTTAAGCTGTAAATATTTTAAGGACAGGAACCCTTTTAGACAGTTCTGCCATCACCTCTTCAGCAACCTAGTCCTTAGTCCACAGAAATTTAAAGTGGCATAGGTGGTTTCTGATGGGAGAAGTGAGAAGAGGACACTCCAGGGGGGTGACGATGCGGTCTGACATGGGTTGAACAATGGTTGATTTCTGGGAATGAAGAGAATGAAATGAAGCATGGAGAGAAGGAGCAACTTCTAGAAAGGCTTAGGCAACAGTAATGATAAGAGGCTAGTGCAGAGATCCTGGGAGGCACCAGGAGAGCTAGGAGAAGGGATAAGTTTGGAAACATGTCCTGATAAAAAACCGGATTCGGCTTTATATCTTTTACCAGAGCACAAAGAGAGTTACGTTGTATATACTCCAGATACGAAGGAGAGAGCCATCCTTGAGCCTGGACTCTGGGTAAGCCCTTTGGGTCAATTTTTTTTTTTTCAAGAATTATTTTATTTAACTTTATTTATTATTATTTGTTTTAATTTGACCAGAGAAAGACAGAGAGAGAGAGAGAGAGAGATAATGAGAAAGCAAGTTGCCAGGTTCGAGACTTGAGCTGTGGTCAGCCATGTGGGAGTCCAGTGTCTTTAACCACCATGCCACCTGCCAGCCCCAATTTTTTTTTTTTTAAGAGAGATTTTTGGTATGAGGCACATGTGCTCACTAGAGAGACCAAGACGGAAAGTGAGAAATCACTCTCCGAGGGGCTGGCTACATCACAATCCCTTCTCTTCCATTTGGAATTTTGGAATTTTGGGCATGCACGTACATGCATGCACCCAGTGTGAGTTTTAAGTTGCCAGGTCCAGGACTTGAACCATGGTCTACTACGTGGGTGTCCAGTGACATAACCTGTATGCCATCTGCTGGTTCCAGTCCTTTGGGTCTTAGGTTTGAGACACAAAGTGATTTTTTTTTTCTTTTTGTCAGAGGGTGCACAAAAGAGAGAGAGAGAAGCCCTCTTTACGTCCCTGTGAGGCCCGGCCATGCCACGATCTCCTTTCCTCCATTCCTCCACCCTGCTGGGATCCTGAGCATGCATGCACATGTACCTGGTATATTTTTTCTTTTTCTTTTCTTTCTTTCTTTTTTTTTTTTTTACTTTTATCTACATTTATTTTATGCTGACTTTATTCTCGTGCCATAAGTTTTTGTTTCTTCAGTTTCTTCTGGGATATATTTTTCTTCTGTGCAACTTCCTCTTCCCGTTTAGGAACGATTTGCTCCTTTTCAGTGAGGATCATCTCGATGTGGCAGGGGGAGCTCATGTATGG